CCCGACCCGAGCAGCCCGAACCGAGCCACCCTGCCCGAACCGAGCCGCCCGAACCGAGCCGCCCAGCCCGAACCGAGCCGCCCGAACCGAGCCGCCCAGCCCAAACCGAGCCGCGCCGCCCGAACCTAACCGCGCCGCCCTTCCCGAGCCGCGCCGCCCTACCTGAACCGAGCCGCGCCGCCCGTACTGGACCGAGCCGCCCTACCTGAGTCGCACTGCCTACTGTTTTTGGGGTGCCCCTACTGCTATTACTCCTACTACTGCTATGGCTAGCCCTCCTGTACTGGCTTTCGATGCTGAGGGCCGCCCAGTGAAGTTCGAAACCTGGCTAGATGACCTACACCTCTTCCTACAGCTCACTGCCAAGGAGGACATCTCACTGTACGATCACGCCCTAGGCCATGCTCCTGGTCCTGCTGCTACTGCTGACAGCACTGCCCGCTCACAGTGGCAGACTCGTGACGCCCACGCTCGCTACGCTATTCGCAACTCCCTGCCGATAGATGAGCGCGAGCACTTTGGGCAGCACAAGACTGCACAGGCACTGTACACTGCTGTCGTTGCCTGCTACTCCTCACCGGCCTCTGCTGCACTAGGCCGTCTCGCTCTTCCCTACTTGTTCCCTGACTTAGCCTCTTTCCACACAGTCGCTGACCTCATTACGCACCTCCGCACTAGTGAGGCTCACTTCCGCGCCGCAATGCCTGATGAGTTCCTTGCCAAGAATCCACCCCCACTCTGGCTCACTCTCTACCACCTAGTCACCCGCCTCCCTGACACTCTGCGCTCAGTCAGGGACCACTTCCTAGCTCGCTGCCCCACTGAGCTCACCATTGCCCTCCTCGAGAAGGAACTCCTTGCAGCTGAGGCTAGCATAGTCGCTGTAGGTGCCTCTCGTGGCGACCCCCGTACCCCGTTCTTTGAGGGGTGTTCTCCTTCCCCCCTTCTTCCCTCTGTCGCCTCTGCTGCTGCTGTCGACCTCCTTGGTGCTGAGAAGGTCGGGACTGCGTCTGCTTCGAGCGGGCGCCGCAGCGGCAAGGGCAAAGGGGGCAAGGGCGGTGGCGCTGATAGCGGGGGAGGCGGTGGTGGGGGCGGTGGCGGCGGTGGGGGTGGTGGCGCGACTGGAGGGGCTAGTGGCAGCGGTGGGGGTGGTGGCGGCAGCGGCGGGGGAGGTGGCAGGGGCGGAGGCGGTGGTGGGGGTGGCGGTGGACGCGGCGGCGGCAGGGGTTGGGGTGGTCGAGGAGGTGGCGGCGGCGGTGGTGGTCGTGGAGGCGCTGGCGGTGGCCAGAGCTAGCAGCACACTCCGTCGCCCCAGGAGGTCCGTGAGTGGTACTCTCAGCACTTGGGGGGGGGGTGGCTTTAGCTGCACGTACGTCATTCGCACTGGTGACCGCACTGGTCAGCCGTGTGGGGGACCGCACGCCACACAGCGCTGCTTCGCTCGTCTCAACGACGCTTGGCGTGTTCAGTTCCCTCAGGCCACTGAGCTGCCCCGCTGGGCTGATCTCCTGAAGAAGGGGATTGATATCTATGCTCTAGACTTTGATGCAATTCTCACTACTATGTATGTGATGTCTACTAGTGGAGAGGGTGCTGAGTACCTGTGTGTGCCGCCAGACCCGAGCATTAGGACTAGTGCGTCTGCCGCTCCAGGTACTCGCGTGTCTGCTACCCCAGGTGCTGGTGAGGCAGCTGCTCTAGGTGCTTGTGCGTCTGCCCCCCCTGGTAGTGAGTCGACGGCAGCACTGCACACCTTCACACTGGACTCAGGTGCTTCTCGCTGCTTCTTTCGTGACCGCACTGCCCTTGAGCCGCTTGCTCGGCCAGTTGGTGTCTCCCTCGCTGACCCCTCTGGGGGTCCGGTCATTGCAACCTCCTCCACTGTCCTTCCCTGTCCTGCGGTCCCGTCGGGCACACTGTCAGGTCTCCACCTCCCCTCGTTCTCTACGAACTTGGTGGCAGGTAGTGCACTCCAGGACGGGGGTGTTCACCAGTTCACCCCTGCCTACGAGCGCGTGACACACTACACGTGTGCTCGTACGGGCTGCCACTTGGCTACCTTCACTCGGCAGCCGGGGTCGAACCTGTACACACTGACCACTGAGTCCCCTCAGGTCCCTGCGTCTGCGTCTGCGTCCGCGTCAGATCAGCTGTCTGCCCCCTGCTCGTGTTGCTCTCTGGCGCACGAGACTGTCCTCTGGCACCACCGACTTGGCCACCCGTCTGTGCAGCGCCTTCGTGCCATGCACTCCCGTTACCTTGTCTCCGGTCTTCCCTGAGTCCTCCCTCCCCTCCCACCCTCGCCTGCTCCTCCCTGTCTTCCCTGCGTCGATTGGCGGCAGCGCGCCGCTCCTCACTCCTCCTCGTTTCCCCTGACGACTGCTCCCTTGCAGACGCTCCACATGGACGTGTGGGGCCCAGCCCGCGTCCGTGGTCAGGGTCAGGAGAGGTACTTCCTGATAGTTGTTGACGACTACTCGCGCTACACCACGGTCTTCCCCTTGCGCACCAAGGGTGAGGTCCCTGATGTCTTGATCCCTTGGGACACACTGAGGACTACGCCTGCGGCTCTTGGGTTTGCTCCCTCTAGTGCCGACCTGTCGCTGTTTCTACGCACCGACACTTCTCTGCCGCCGTTCTACATCCTCGTGTACGTCGACGACTTGGTCTTTGCCACAGCTGACACTGCTGGACTCGCCTACGTGAAGTCCAAGCTGCAGAAGAGACACACGTGCACAGACCTGGGTGAACTGCGCAACTACCTTGGCTTGCAGATCACCCGGGACAGAGCACGCCGCACCATTACCCTAACTCAGTCACACATGGTGCAGCAGGTCCTTCAGCGCTTCGGCTTCACGTACTCCTCGCCTCAGGCCACTCCTAAGCCTACTCGCCACTCGCTCTCAGCTCTGCTTTCGGATGAGTCCGTAGAGTCGAGTGGCCCGTACCCAGAGCTTGTTGGCTGCCTCATGTACCTGATGACCTGCACACGACCTGACCTTGCATACCCTCTTAGCATTCTCGCACGCTATGTTGCTCCTGGTAGACACCAACCAGAGCACATGGCTGCAGCGAAGAGGGTGTTGCGCTACTTGTGCAGTACGTCGGGCATGGGGCTAGTGCTTGGAGGGCGCAGTCCAGTGGTCCTCACTGGTCACGCAGACGCTTCTTGGGCTGACGACCAGGCTACGCAGCGGTCGTCGCAGGGTTACACCTTCAGCCTTGGTTCCGGCTCTGTTTCGTGGCGGGCTACTGTTCGTCTTCTGTTCTCGGCTCCAGTTGTGAGGCTGAGATCTACGCAGGGGCCATGGCTGCTTAGGAGCTTCGCTGGCTCACCTACCTGCTGACCGACCTTGGAGAGCCGCCTCGTTCTCCTCCAGTCCTGTACGTAGACAACAAGGCCATGCTGGCCTTGTGTCGAGAGCAGAGACTGGAGCACAGAACAAAGCACATTGCTCTCCGCTACTTCCTTGCTCTTGAGCTACAGCAGTGTGGTCAGATGCGGCTTGCGTACGTGGCCTCTGAGGCCAACACTGCTGATGTCTTCACCAAGGCACTTGCGCCTTGTGATCATCAGCGCTTCTGCACCCAGCTGGGTCTTGTACCTGTCTTGCCTCACTTGCTCACCTCTTGACCTTGCTTGTACTGTTACATATATATATATACCTGCTCTTGCTTGTCTAGCCTTATATATATATGTACTCATGCATGTGAACTGGCCTTGTGGCCTTGAACTTGTGCTCGGAATGTGTGGTGACTTTGTGATCCACCCTGAGCTTGCTTTGCTTTGCTTTGCTTGACTGGTCTTGTGACCCCTAGTTCTCCCCCACTTCGCCTATGGGGGTGTGTCAAACATTATATATGTTGTACTTGTTTAGGCTACAGTGGGTTAGCCTATAGGGGGTACACAATTCTAGGGTTAGGTACTTGTACTGATTTCACTGTTAGTTCAATCATTCCTGTTCATTCATTTCAACATCTCCCGCTAGGGGTAGACGCCGCACCGATCGACTCAAGACCAAGGAGGTCGGCCGCAGCAGCAAAGGCAACAGAGGGCAAAAGGGGGGAGGGGGAACACTCCTCAAAGATGGGGGTGCGAGGGTCACCACGAGAGGCTCCTACAGCTACTATGCTTTTCTCTGCTGCTAGGAGGGCCTTCTTGAGGAGGTCAACGGTGAGAGTGGTGGGGCAAACTGAGAGGAAGTGGTCCCTGACTACGCGAAGGGAGTCAGGGAGCCGGGTGACTATGTAGTAGAGGGTGATGCACATGGGGGGGGGGGGGGTTCTTGGTGCAGATCTCAGCAGGAAGCGGAGCGCGGTAGCGAGTGTCACTAGTGCGGAGGTGTGTAATAAGGTCAGCGATTGTGGGAAAGGCAGCAAGGTCAGGGAAGAGGTACGGTAGCATGAGGCGGCTAAGTGCAGCAGTGGCAGGGGAGAAGTAGCGTGCAACTACAGCGTCGTATAAGGTCTGAGTACTCTTGTACTGACTAAAGTGCGCACGCTCAGAGATAGGCAGGTGGCGACGCACAGCAAGACGTACAGCAGCATCGCGTGTGGCCCACTGTGAGTGAACAGTGGCGTCAGCATCAGCAGTAGGGGCAGGAGAGGCACCAGAGGTGAGTTAAAAGAGGGAGAGACCGTCTGCCCTATCACACTGTAGGAAAAGCTGTAGGTCATCTACCCAGATGTCAAAGTCAATGGCCCGACCCTCAGTGTCAAAAGCGAGGACACTAGGGGTAGCCATGACAGCAGTAGACTAGCAGCGCGAACAGTAGGGTAAGGGCAGTGCAGTGACAGAGGCGCTGCTCTTACCGGACAGGGCGGCTCGGGCGGCTCGGCGGATCGGCGGCTTGGCGGTTCGGCGGCTCGGGCGGCTCGGCGGCTCGGCAGCAACTGCGGCTCGGCGACTTAACGGCGCTGGCGGCTCGGCGGTACGGCGGCTCGGCAGCTCAGCGACCCGGCGGCTCGGGCGGCTCAGGTGGCGCGGCGGCTCGGGTGGCTTAGGTGGCTCGGGCGGCTCGGCAGTAGGTCGGCGGCGCCGGCGGCTTGGTGGTGACGGCGGGGCCGCGCGGGGACGGCGGCGGGGCCGGTAGAGGCAGCGCCGGGGGCGCAGGGTAGGGGACGGGGCCAGCAGAGTCGGCGCCGGGGCCGGGAAGGGCGGCGCCGGGGCCGGGAAGGGCGGTGCCGGGGCCGCAGGGGTAGGCGACGGGGCCAGCAGAGGCGGCGCCGGGGCCGGGAAGGGCGGCGTCGGGGCTGCAGGGGTAGGCGACGGGGCCGGCAAGGTCGGCGACGGGGCCGCAGGGTAGGTGCCGGGGCCGCAGGGTAGGCGACGGGGCCGCAGGGTAGGCGACGGGGCCGCGAGGGTAGGCGCCGGGGCCGCAAGGGTAGGCGACGGGGCCGCGAGGGCGGCTTGAAGGGGTCGCTAGGGCAGCTCGAAGAAGCCGCGAGGGCGGCGCGAAAGGGCCGCAAGGGCGGCGCGACGCGGCCGCGAGGGCGGGGCGACGTGATGGGGCCGCGAGGGCGGCGCGACGGGGTCGCGAGGGCAACTCGACGGGGCCGCTAGGGAGGCTCGACGCGACGGGGCTGCTAAGGCGGCGCGATGAGGTCGTAAGGGCGGCGCAACGGGGTCGTGAGAGGGGAGCGCGAGTCGGGCAGAGGCTGAGCGTGCTCCGGGCAGGAAAAAAAATAAACCGGTGGGCCCTAGGAACAGTTCCCACAGGGGAACCTGCTCTGATACCATGTGAAATTGAACGAGAATGAATGAACTATGAAATAGTTGGGTACAAGTACTAACCCTAATTGGGTTGTACCCCTTATGGGCTACCCCACTACAGCCTACATTAAAGTATATGCTAGAATGTTCTAACAGCTTCTCCCCGGATGCAGTACACGCGAGCATCACCGTCAAGCGCGTCTTCTGGTAGCCTGCAGTGCGGATTGGGACCGAGCGCGCGCCACGGTGCTCGATCGTCTGTTTGGCTGGCATCTCCACGAATAGTGGAGTCTGGTCCGCGTTGATGATGCGGGCCTGGTCGATGTTGTGCCGCGCCCTGTTGATGCGCGCGAACTTCCAGAAGGACTCGCAGTCCTTCGCGCACTCTGCAAACGGGACAAGCGCAACGGAAGCACGGGATGGTTAGACACTGGGTGAGGTACATGCATTCAATAGCGCGACACGAAATCCTTCAACACGCACCTGCCGACAGACGTTGGCCGACCTTGGTCTTCACCCGCATTTCCAGGTTCCAGTGGTCACGGAAATGCTGACTCCAGTGAGAGCTCGCGTTCCAGTTCTTGCCGGGGTAATGGTTCTTCATCCACTCGCGGCTCCACTTCTGGGTGTCCTTCACCGAGATGGCCACCCCGCTAGCGCGGTGAAGGCAGATGTAGCGGTACAACGCTGCCTCCATGTCGGGGTAGTGTGAGTGGCGCCCCCCCCCCCGTGCATCTGCTTGCGGCAGTTAGCCGCGCCCTTGTAGACGCCCGGTTCCGCCTCCGCACACCAGCGTCTGATGCAGGCGATGGACGCGGTTGACTCCACGCTCGTCTTCTTCAAGGAGCCGAGCTCCTGATAGCGGCGGGCCCACTTAAGCTTCTCACGCACGGTCCAACTGCGGTGCTTCTTCGTAGTGTCTTTGCTGCGAGGGGAAGGTGGGCGGGTGTTGGGATTATGGAGGGTGGGGTCCTTCGGCGTGACCTTCTCAAGGAACGTGGGAATCGGGCCCGCCGCCGCCGCGTACTCATCGTGGCTGCCCAGCGTCTCGTTCACGACGATGTCGTCAGGATTCGGCGCCTTCTTCGCCTTCTTCTTAGCCGCACCCTTGCTGGATCTCGGGTATCCGTCGGATGTCCACTTCTTGTTGCTTTTGCAGCGACAAGCAGGGGCCTTAGTAGGGGCCTTAGCAGGGGCTTCCGCAACCTTGGCTTTCCCCTTCTCCGCAGCGGTGAGTATCGGGCGACGCTCCTCCCCCGGACCGTCGTCGTCAGAGAGCACCACGCGGGCCCGCTCCGACTTGGATTGTAGGCGATGGCGCAGCCTCCGCTTTAGTAGCGAAACGTCGTCGTCGGTCCCAAGGCTCCATGGGTCGTGGTCGCCGCCTTCCTCGTCAAATAAGACGGCATCCGCAGCAACCTTGTCCGACTCCGCCACAGCATCCGCATCCGCAATTGCGGCCGCATCCGCAGGCGCAACTGTCTCAAGTTCCGCCCCCGCCTCGTCGTCAGCCTCCTCATTTGCATCCACCGCCGCTTCCTGTGCATCCGCCGCTGCCTCTGCGTTGTCACCATGCGCATTTTCACCTCCGTCGTTGTCGGAATCACCAGCCCGCTACTCTTCCACCTCGTCGTTGCTCCCGACCGGCCGATTCCACCAGTTGTCCTCCTCGATGTCGGCAGGACCTAATTCGTCGCCCGAAGCGCTGTCGTCGTGGCCGTTCTCCGGCCAATCCTCCTCTGCGTCGTCGGCGTTCTCTTCATCTCCATCGTCCCTGTCACAGCTCGCACCGGAGGCGGCGGTAGGACTTCCCGCCTTGCTCGCGTTCTTCACTATGGCTACACGGATGTCATCGCCGGGCGAGTTAATTCGCCCGTGGTTATTCACCTGCACGTGAGGACGAAGTGAGGACTTGCCTACTGGTACTTTGCTGCGCATGGTTAGAGAGCCTGCTGAGAGCAAGGTTGAGACGAGTATTCAACCTCCTTGAGCACGAAATGAAGTGAGAGCCCGACTACCCCCCCCAGCCGGAGTGCCCCATCCACAGGTGCCGAGCCACTCCTCTACGAGGCATCTCCTCATAGAGGACAACCCTCACGCTGCCAACGTGCTGCCAGCAGCGTTCTGGAAGCATCCCTGCGCTGCTGGCAGCAAAACGACGCTGGCAGCATCATCAGGTGCTGCCAGCACAGAGGAATGTTGCCAGCGGTTGCAGCTCCCTCACGTGGCAAGTGTGGGCGCTGCATGCATCACCACCGAGGTCGGCCTGTTTCAATGAATCTGGTCCTTGGGTGGTTTCTACACACTTTGCAAGTGTTACAATCAACTTATTTTTTTTCCATTTATAAGACTTATAAGACACCCTAAACCATCCCTTTTACAAGATAACTCAAGCATTTTTGCCCGTGTACGAGATAAGACATATATGTCTTATATCCAAACAATGACAATACAACTACTAAGCATTCAACGAGGCCTAGGACTAATATAACCATCATAGCTAGGCCGAGGTCGCGGAGTCGCGAGATGGTTGGGTGCACGCTTGGGGTTGGGAAACCCGAAGGCGACGTGAGGTATGTTCGGCAGGCGAAGTCGTCGGGCCGAGCCTGAACTCCGAAAGTTGGAATTGTATGCGTACAGGACTTCGCCTGAACTCAGTAAGGAATTAATTACACGGGGCTTCGCCAATTTCACGCGCACTGTTTCACCAAACCATGCACCGCTGGCCCCGCCAAGTCGGCCTACGCTTTGGGGCTAGCCCAAACCTCGATGCCAGCCTAGCACTACCTAGCTCGCACGCGCCGCGTAACCGTTCTATCTTTCCGCACATAAGTATTCGCTCATACTTTGTACTTTTGATCCACACAGTGTAATCCTCGCTACGTTGTCCTATTGCACCTGTAAGACTTGGTCATCATAGCCACTTTCTTTCGGACCGCGCATCTCCGCACCCAGGAAAGCAACTTTTGATTTTTTATCGAAGGAACTCACACCCCTTAGCACTTAGGAGCCGCTGTCCTCGCGTTCTCTCGTAAACGCGTGCAGCCACGACTGCGCCTAGACTAAGCTGAGCCGACGCCCTTCAGAATGGCTGAACACATTGACGTCGCGAGCCTCACGTAGGAGCGTCTGAACGAAATGCTATAGCAACTCCGCGAAAGCTCTGAAGAAATTGCTGCGCTGACGGCAGAGCGTATGTTCCTGCAAAACGGCATCGCACGAGCACAACAAGCGCAATCGCAAGCACCAGGCACACCGGGACAACCCGCACGACAAGCATCACAGCTCAGAAGTGTGGGGCAACCCGCGAGCGCGGGTAGTGATGGCCTCGTCCGCAACGACAGAGACGACGACCATGGTGCGACACACCCCGAAGCGACGAATGCGGCCAAAAGCCAACCCTGCTTCACGATTTTGGTGCTGACCAGCGAGTCAACAGTGCAGTTGCCGATGCCGCTGAAGCCGCAGCGTCCCCCTTGCTTTGACCCAAGTCAACGGGGTGGTCCTACAGTTAAGGCGTAGTTGTTCACCATGAACGTATTTTTTGACGCGAACTACGTCTCGGAGGATACGACGAAGATTCGTTACGTCGTGTCGCTGCTGCGAGAACCCGCCATGGACGAAGCCGACGGACTACGCGACTCTACCGACACAGGAAGGAAAAACCAGACCCTGGGCGTAGTCATATTTCGTGGAGGTGCTCTAATATCGCACGTGGGACGCGTGGTGCGCAGGTCTGCGTGCCCGAACGAGCCTATTGCGGCTTCGATCGCAGCGCGTCAGAAGCTCCGCACTTGGCGCAAGCTCAGTTCCGTCCAGGATTACACCAGCGAGTTTCTGGCGCAGTGTGAGCAGGTGGGCTACATGCATGGAAGCGAGTGTATCGACCGCTACATCGGCGGCCCGAAGCATGGCATCGCCCAGGAAATCCAGCTCCGCGGCGTCACCGGCTTTCAGGAGATTCTCGTAATGGTGGAGAAACTTGACTTTTTCCACCGACCGAGACCGAGGTCCTAAGGAAGCAACAACAAATAGGGACACTGATCCCATGGGACGAACGAGCACGCCACGATACGTGCCGTTGCCGCGAATGCCGCTACTTCATGTGCAATCGGCCGGGACACCGCAAAAACGCCGCCCGTAGCGGCCCCGTCGCCGCCCCTCTAGGCCCCTCGCGGCGCCCTCACGGCCCCGTCGCCGCCCCTAGCGGCCCCGTCGCCGCCCCTCTAGGCCCCTCACGGCCCCTTCGCGGCCCCGTCGCCGCCCCTCTCGGCCCCGTCGCCGCCCCTCTAGGCCCCTCGCGGCCCCTCTGCAGCCTCGTCGCCGCCCCTAACGACCCCAACGCCGCCCTTTGCGGCCACCTCGCCGCCCCTAGCGGCCCCGTCGCCGCCCTTCACGGCCACCTCCCCGCCCTTCGCGGCCCCATCCCCGCCTCTAGCGGCCCTGTCGCCGCCTCTAGCGGCCCCGTTGCCGCCTCTAGCGGCCCCGTCGCCGCCTCTACCGGCCTCATCGCTGCCTCTACCGGCCCCTTCACCAGCCAAGTTGCCGAGCCGCCTAGCGGCAGAGCCGCCGAGCCGCCCAGCAACCGAGCCGCCGAGCCGCCGAGCCGCCTAGCAGCCGAGCCGCCGAGCCGCCGAGCCGCCCAGCAGCCGAGCCGCCGAGGCGCCCAGCAGCCGAGCCGCCGAGCCGCCGAGCCGCCCCGCAGCCGAGCCGCCCCGCAGCCGAGCCGTTGAGCCACCGAGTCACTGCCGAGCCGCAGCCACCGCGGTCCCAGCCCTGTTCCTACCGGCGCGCCCCCGCCCTACCCGCCCGGACTGGTGAGCGCACTCCCTGCTAGACTACTACTGTCATGGCTACCCCCAGTGTCCTTACCTTTGATGCTGAGGGTCGTGCTGTTGACTTTGAGGTCTGGGTCAATGACCTCCAGCTCTTCCTCCAATGCGATAGGGCAGACGGACTCTCCCTTTTTGATCTCACCTCTGGTGCTTCTCCTGCCCCGCCTGCTACTGCTGACAGCACTCTTCACTCACAGTGGGCCACACGCGATGCTGCTACCCGTCTTGCTGTGCGTCGCCACTTATCGACCGCTGAGCGTGCGCACTTTAGTCAGTACAAGAGTGCTAAGACCTTGTACGACGCTGTAGTTGCACGCTACTCTTCCCCTGCCACTGCTGCTCTTAGCCGCCTCATGCTGCCGTACCTGTTCCCTGACCTTGCTGCCTTTCCCACAGTCGCTGACCTCATTACGCACCTTCGCACTAGTGACACTCGCTACCGCGCTGCGCTTCCTGCTGAGTTTTGTGCCAAGAACCCCCCCCCCCATATACATCACCCTCTACTACATAGTCACTCGGCTCCCTAACTCCCTTCACTTAGTCAGGGACCACTTCCTCTCAGTTTGCCCCACCACACTCACTGTTGACCTCCTCGAGGAGCGCCTCCTAGCAACAGAGAAGAGCATAGTCGCTGTATGAGCCTCTCGTGGTGACCCTCGCAACCCCGTCTTTGAGGGGTGTTCCCCCTCCCCCCTCTTGCCCTCTATTGCTTCTGCTGCTGCGGCCGACCTCGTTGGCTTCGAGTCGGTCGGCGCTGCGTGTGCCCCTAGCGGGAGACGCCGCACCGGCAAGGGCAAGGGGGGCAAGGGCGCTGGAGGGGCTGGCGAGGGCAGTGGAGGTGGTGTTGGAGGCAGTGGAGGGGGTGGGGGTGGTGGTGGGAGTGGTGGCGGGGGTGGAGGTGTCAGTGGCAGCAGTGGAGGCGGAGGAGGCGGCGGCGGTGGCGGAGGGAGCGGAGGCGGCGGTGGTGGCGGAGGCGGCGGAGGTGGCGGAGGCGGCGGAGTTGGCGGAGGCGGCCGCGGCAGCGGTGGAGCTGGTCGCGGCTCTACGCAGAGGAGTGGTTCCGGTGGTGGTCCGCGCCAGCTGCACCAGCGCAATCGTGAGACCCCGTCCCCCCAGCAGCTTCGTGAGTGGTACACTGGGCGTCAGCGAGGTGGGGGTACTGGTCCCTGCACCTACGTCCTTCGTACCGGCGACCGCGCTGGTGAGCAGTGCGGGGGCCCGCACTCCACCCAGCGCTGCTTCGGCCGCATGACGGACGCGTGGCGTCACCAGTTCCCTGACGCCACTGAGATCCCTCGCTGGGGAGAGCTGTCTAGGGCGGGGGTTGCTATCTTTGATCTTGATTATGATGCTATTCTAGCTGCCATGTATGCTGTGTCTACTAGTGATGAGAGTGACTGTTACCTGTGTGTTCCGTCTAACCCGGGTATCGAGGCTGCTGCTCTAGGTGCTGGTGAGGCTGCTGCTCTAGGTGCTAGTGCGTCTGCTGCCCCAGGTGCTGGTGAGTCTGCTCTCTCAGGTACCACGTCGGCTCAGGCCCTACACACCTTCACCCTTGACTCGGGTGCTTCCCGCTCCTTCTTTCGAGACCGCACTACGCTAACGCCGCTTAGTCGGCCGGTTGCGGTCTCCCTGGCAGACCCCTCTGGGGGTCCTGTCCTTGCTCGCTTCTCCTCTGTCTTATCGCGTCCAGCGGCCCCCTTTGGCACCCTGTCAGGTCTCTACCTCCCCTTGTTCTCTACGAACTTGGTGAGTGGAGCTGATCTACAGGATAGGGGGGTTGACCAGTGTCGAAATACTTTGTCATGTTTTATAATTGCTTGTAGTTGTAGTTAGTGTAGTTATGTAAACTTTTGTTGGTGGTGCACCTTATTGTCAGCGGGTGACCCACTGTACGTGTGCTCGGACGGGCCGACACTTGGCCACGTTTACCCGTCGGGCGGGGTCGAGCCTGTACACACTGACCACTGAGTCTCCTCCGGTTGCTGAGACTAGTCAGGTAGCTGCGTCGAGTCAGGTATTTGCTGCAGCGCCCAGGTTTGGTCCTGAGTTTTCTCCCTGCTCATGTCGTCTCCTGTCCCACCAGACTCTCCTTTGGCACCACCGCCTTGGTCAACCCTCCTTGCCTTGTCTCTGAGGCATGGCCTCCCGTGTCCTTGTCTCTGGTCTCCCCCGGTCCCTCCCTCCCCTACCTCCGAGGCCTGCCCCTACCTGCGTTCCCTGCGTCGAGGGGCGGCAGCGCGCCGCCCCTCACTCCTCCGAGTTTCCTCCGACAGAGGCTCCGCTGCAGACTCTTCACATGGACGTGTAGGGTCCCGCCCGCGTCCGTGGCCAGGGTCACGAGCGTTACTTCCTGTTGGTGGTAAACGACTACTCGCGTTACACCACGGTCTTTCCCTTGCGCTGCAAGGGTGACGTCACTGAGGTGTTGATCGTCTGGATCCGCGCAGCTCGTCTCCAGCTCAGAGAGAGTTTCGGCTGGGACTTTCCAGTTCTGCGTCTGCACTCTGACAAAGGCGGGGAGTTTTCTTTTGTCTTGCACAGGGCATCCGCCAAACCTTCACGCTTCCGGCCTCTTCACCACAAAACGGGATTGCTGAGCGCCGCATTGGCATGGTCATGGACGTCGCTCGTACGTCCATGATGCATGCGGCTGCCCCCCATTTTCTGTGGCCGTTTGCGGTTCAGTACGCAGCGCATCAGCTCAACCTTCAGCCCCGGGTCTCCTTGCCAGAGACCTCCCCCACCTTGCGGTGGACGGGGAAGGTTGGCGATGCGTTTGCGCTCCAGGTCTAGGGATCTCGGGCGTTTGTCCGCGACTTGTCTGCTGACAAGCTGACCCCCCGTGCTGTTCCCTGCGTCTTCCTTGGCTTCCCCCCTGACGCGCTTGGGTGGCAGTTTTACCACCTCACCTTGCGCCGTGTTCTGTCCTCCTTGGACGTCACCTTTGACGAGTCGGTGTCTTACTACCGTCTCTTCCCCTACCGCACTGCGCCCCTTCCCCCGCCGCCGCTCTTCCTTGCGCCAGGTCCTCCCCCAGTAGACCCCCTCCCCCCTCAGGGTCCTGCTCCGTCAGATGTGTCCCAGGTAGACGGAGTCGAGCCTGTCGAGGTAGCTGTTGACTCTAGTGCTGCTAGAGGTGCTGAGCCTGCGGGCTCTGGGTGTGGAGGCGCTGAGCCTGGGGGTGCGGAGCTTGGGGGTGCTGAGTCTAGGGGTGCTGAGCCTGGGGGTGCTGAGTCTGGCGGTGCTGAGCCTGGGGTTGCGGAGTCTGGGGGTGCTGAGCCTGGGGTTGCTGAGCCTGAGGGTGCGGAGCATGGGGGTGCTGGGTCTGCTCGTGTGGCCTCTCGCGGTGCTTCGTCGAGGCGGGAGCTACTCTCTCCGCAGGAGCTTCGCGAGTGGTTTGCCTAGTGCTGGAGCCATGCTGCTGGAGCTGGAGGTGCTACTGTTGCTGCTGGTCCTGGAGGTGCTCGTACTGACGGTACTGGAGCTGCTGGGACTGGGGGTGCTGCTGGGGCTGCTGGAGTTGGTCCTACTAGACGTACTGCTGGAGCTGCTGGCGGTACTGGAGCTGCCGGTCCTGCTGGACTAGGTGCTGCTTGAGTTGCTGGAGCAGGAGCTGCTGGGGGTGTTGACGCTGGTGCTTCTAAGGGTGCCGGAGTTTGCGCTGCTGGAGCTGGAGGTGCTATTGGCGCTGGTGTTGCCTCTGGGGGTACTGGTGCTGACCCTGCTGTTTCTGGAGGGGCTGCGCGGCCGCGGCCGTACTTCGTTCCGCTCCTTGAGCAGGTTCTTGGTCTCCCGCCTTCTACTGGTCCTGCTCCTCCCTAAGAGTGTCCACAGCCTGCCCAGTCGCAGTCACAGTTACAGCCCGCCTCCCCCCTGCCTGCTCCTTCTCCCTACACTGGTCCTACTGGAGGTCTTGCTGAGCGTCGTGAGCCTGCGTCTCGTCCTGCGTCGCCTGTTCGTGCTGCTTGCACTCGTAGTTGTGTTCCGCGTCCGAGTCATCTTGCGGTCCCAGGCATACACCAGATGGCACTGCGTCCTTCCACTGCTCCTCTGCGTGTCCCGTTGCCGTCTCCTCCAGAGTCCTCTCTTCTAGTCCTAGCTGACACAGAGTCTGATTCTCTTCGTGCTGCCAGTCCTACTGTCACGCGTCTCCTGGCTACTGTTGTCACTGACCCTTCCTTTGAGTCCACTGCTGCGTCAGCCTTGGTTGCTGAGCTTGTCGAATTTGCTGCTCGCTGTCGTCTAGACTACGCTGCTAGTCTTATTGCTGAGTCTGAGTCTGTCTGTCCTCCGTCCGTCGGGGGTGAGTGTGCTCTTAGCACGGACGTCCTTGAGGACAGGCAAGAGGAGTTCCAGTGTTTTGCTGCTGCTTTTCCTCATCTCATGTCCACGCTGATTGTCCTTGAGGGTTACACCTTCACCCTTGGCTCCGGCTCTGTTTCGTGGCGGTCTACCCACTCGTCTTTTGTTCTCAGCTCGAGCTGTGAAGCTGAGATCTACGCAGGGGCCATGGCTCACCTACCTGCTGACTGACCTAGGAGAGTCGCCTCGTTCTCCTCCAGTTCTGTACGTAGACAACAAGGCCATGCTGGCCTTGTGTTGGGAGCACAGACTGGAGCACAGAACGAAGCACATTGCTCTTCGCTACTTCCTTGCTCGTGAGCTGCAGCAGCGTGGTCAGCTGCGCCTTGCTTACGTGGCCTCTGAGGCCAACACTGCTGATATCTTTACCAAGGCACTTCCGCCTGGTGATCATCAGCGCTTCTGTATGATGCTAGGTCTTTTGCCTACTTGGCCTCACTTGCTCATTTCTTGACCTTGCTTGTACTGTGATCTTTCTATACCTGCACTTGCCTGTTTACCTTTATATATGATCTTATATGTGAACTGGCTTTGTGGCCTTGCTCTTGTGCTCGGACTGTGTGGTGACGTTGTGATCCACCCTGAGCTTGCTTTGCTTTGCTTGACTGGTCTTGTGACCTCTTGTTCTCCCCCAATTTGCCTATGGGGGTGTGTAAAACTTATATGCTATAGTCTGTGTAGGCTGTAGTGGGGTAGACTATATGGGGTACAACATTTCTAGGTTTTCCTACTTGTACCCACCTGTTTGCTAGTTCATTCATTTCCTCATTCTTCACAGGGGTTTCCAAGATATACATGCATTTGCGTAGTGGAGGGGGCTTCTGAGAAGACTAGAACGAGAATGAAATGACTAAGGGAAAGTTGGGTACAAGTACAAACCCTAGAAAGCTGTTCCCCATATGTGCTACCCCACTATAGCCTACAGTAGCTATGTCATATAAATCTGACACACCCCCATAGGCAAAGTGGGGGAGAACAAGGGGTCACAAGACCAGTCAAGCAAAGCAAAGCAAGCTCAAAGTGGATCACAAAGTCACCACACATTCCGAGCACAAGTTCAAGGCCACAAGGCCAGCTCACATGCAGGATTACATATATATATAAGGCTAAACAAGCAAGAGCAGGTGTATATATATATGCAACACTACAAACAAGGTCAAGGGGTGAGCAAGTGAGGCAAGGTAGGCACAAGACCCAGCTGGGTACAGAAGTGCTGATGATCACAAGGCGCAAGTGCCTTGGTGAAGATATCAGCAGTGTTGGCCTCAGAGGCCACGTACGCAAGCCGCAGCTGACCACGCTGCTGTAGCTCACGAGCAAGTAGCGGAGAGCAATGTGCTTCGTTCTGTGCTCCAGTCTCTGCTCTCGACACAAGGCCAGCATGGCCTTGTTGTCGACGTACAGCACCGGAGGAGAACGAGGCGGCTCTCCGAGGTTAGTCAGCAGGTAGGTGAGCGAGCGAAGCTCCTGTGCAGCCATGGACCCGGCGTAGATCTCAGCCTCACAATTGGAGCCGAGAACAGAAGACGAGCGGGTAGCCCGCCACGAGACAGAGCCGGAACCAAGGCTGAAGGTGTAACCCTGTGACGACCGCTGTGTAGCCTGGTCGCCAGCCCAAGAAGCGTCTGCGTGCCCAGTGAGGACCACTGGACCCTGCCCTCCAAGCACAAGCCCCATGCCCGACGTATTGCACAAGTAGCGCAACACCCTCTTCCCTGCAGCCATGTGCTCCGGTCTGTGTCTCCCAGGAGCAACATAGCGTGCTAGAATGCTAAGAGGGTATGCAAGGTCAGGTCGTGTGCAGGTCATCAGGTACACGAGGCAGCCAACAAGCTCTGGGTACGGGCCACTCGACTCTACGGACTCATCCGAAGGCAGAGCTGAGAGCGAGTGGCGAGTAGGCAGAGGAGTGACCTGAGGCGTGGAGTACGTGAAGCCGAAGCGCTGAAGGACCTGCTGCACCATGTGTGACTGAGTCAGGGTAATGGTGCGGCGTGCTCTGTCCCGGGTGATCTGCAAGCCAAGGTAGCTGCGCAGCTCACCCAGGTCTGTGCACGTGTGTCTCTTCTGCAGCTCGGACTTCACGTGGGCGAGTCCAGCAGTGTCAGCTGTGGCAAAGACCAAGTCGTTGACGTACACGAGGATGTAGAACGGCGGCAAAGAAGTGTCGGTGCGCAGAAACAGCGACCGGTCGGCAGTAGAGGGGGCAAACCCAAGAGCCGCAAGTGTAGTCCTCAGTGTGTCATGCCACTCACGTGGTGCCTGGCGGAGACCGTAGACTGGCCGCCAGAGGCTCCACTGGGTGCCAGGAGGAAAATTCCCAGTGAAGCCAAGTGGGCGGCGCAGCCAGATCTCCTCGTGCAGGCTGCCCTGCAGGAAAGCAGTGCTGAAGTCAAGA